ATTGATTCAATTCATCTCTATGAGGAGATGTTGATTGGCCAGGGCTATGTTTGAATCATGCTGGCTCTGCCCCTGATCTGCCTCCTTGTCAGTCTCAGCCAATCCTATGGGGAAGCATTGTGATTGGATCAGGCTACCACTTCTGCTGATGTCAGCAGACTGCTTGTTTTGTTTTTTAGGTAAACAACATGCAGAGTTACAGCTTCTGGCTTGAATACAGTAAGAGTTTGCTATATTTATGGAGGCATGAGGGTCCCAGGGGGTTGTTTTAAAACTATAGGGTCAGGAATACATGTTTGTGTTCCTGACCCTATAGTGATCCTTTAATACAAGCAGTTTGTATGAAAATATAACAAACCAGTGAGGATTAAAAAACAAACAAAAAAAAAACAGTTTTACAAGTCCCACTGTGTTTTAAAAGGATAGTAAATTATATTCACAGCATTGTCCCTTTAAACTGAATGCAGTGCAAGCTAGACTCCCACGCCATATATCTTGCTAGGCATGTACAAGATAACACCTTTCACTGGGATAATGGACAGTAATGATAATGTGAATGTTTATGCAAAGAGTCTTATCAGATCTTAGTACAATGTACCACATTTTACATTTGGACACATTATCACGACAAATACTCATTTACATGTACTGCTAATGTCAATTAGGGGCAACTCTAGATTTTAAGCTGTCCATTGCACAAAGCTTTAGATCTGTACATTACTAAAATGGGCTAATTAATAGATTTTATAAATGCAACGTGTATCATCTATATTGATTTTCCCTCATTCCATTCTGGCTGTCTGCAAAAGCAAAGATAAAAAAAGATTGGGGGCACATTCTGAACGTGCATTCTGCAGGAATGGTGCTGCAGTAATGATCAATATTCATACATAATACAAATTATGTTACAGCGCACACATTAAAATACACTTGTAAATCTTATCAGGCTACTTAAAATCCCCTATCTAAGAAAACAAACATGGGGAGTCAGTTCCACCATATGGCCAAAAGCCCACCACTACTTCACAGTACCCCAATATCGGTGTGTCCTACACTAATTCCAAAAGTGGGAGACAAATTAAATAGTGCTAGTGCTAAATACGCTAAAGTGTATACAATTAATCCCTGCCCCTGCACTATCCTTTACTTCCTTTGAAGTTCATACTCTCCGTCTTTTAAAACCCACTCCTCTTAGAATTTCCATCATTTATCCCCTGCTCGGTCATCCTATGCTATTCATTGAACACTTTTCTTCCTGTCTACCCCATTTCCTCTCCTCTAGCACGTTTTCCCTCATTCTTGACGACTTTAATATCCCAATCAACAACCCTAACTGCCCTGATGCCTATCGTCTGCTCTCTATAACCTCCTCCGTTGGACTCACACAGTGGTCTAATTCATCAACTCATAGAGCAGGAAACACTCTTGACCTCAACTTCACCAATCTCTATACCACCTCTAATCTCTCCAATGTTCCTTTTTTTCTATCTGACCACTATCTGTTGTCCATTGACATCCGCATACCCCATACCCAAAGTACACCACCCTTACCACATCAGTCTTGCAGAAACCTCCATTGTCTTGACCTACAGCAATTCTCCACCAACCTCCAAAGTCTCTTTTCACCCATCTTAAATCTCACCTGCCCTAACACTGCAACCTCCCTCTGCAACTCCACTCTCTCCTCTCAACTAGACAACATGGCACCTCCTACACTTAAACGCACTAAGCGTCCCCAATTTCAACCCTGGCACACAAAGCTGACCCGATAATGTTCCAGAACTGCTGAACGCTGCTAGAGAAAGTCTCACTCTGAATTCCTCCACTATAAATTAATGCTGCACTCCTTACAGTCTGACTTCTTCCTCTTCAAAAGAATACTACTTCAATACACTCATAACCACACTCTCCTGCAAGCCCAAACTACTGTTTCATGCTTTTAACTCTCTTCTTTGCCATGTCTTGCCTCCTTCTCCTACCAACTTGACCGCCACAAACTTTGAAACTCACTTCACTGAGAAGATTTCTACAATCAGGAAAGAGATCTCTCATCTCTCTCCATCCACTATCAACTTTTCCCCTAACCACACTCTCTCAGCTCTCCTATGCTCATTTGCACCCACAACAGCAAAAGAGGGTTCTGCTCTGCTCCGTTCCTCATGCCCCACCACCTGTTCCCTCAATCCTATTCCCTCGTATCTCATCCATACTTTGTCTCCTTCTCTTGCTCTGCCTCTCACTAAAATTTTCAATCTCTCCCTCTTCTCTGGCACATTTCCTCTACCCTTCAAACATGCAACCATAACCCCAATTCTAAAAAAGACCAACTTTGACTATAATTCCCCATCCAACTACCACCCTATCTCGCTACTGACGTTTGTCTCCAAGATCCTTGAGAGAGTTGTGTATGTGAGATTGACAGACTTCTCTCCTTGACCTGATTCAATATGGATTCCACGCTCATAACTCTGTTGAAACAGCTGTGACCAAAGTATACAATGATCTTATCAATGCTAAATCCCATGGCTACTACTCTATCCTAATTTTCCTTGACCTTTCTGCTGCTTTTGACACTGTTGATCATCAACAGCTTCTTCTCATCCTCCATAATCTCTGTCTACGAGATACCGCTCTTTCCTGGTGCTCTTCCTACCTCTCCCAGTGCTCATTCAGTGTTTCTTTCTCTGGCTCTGCCTCTTCTCCCTAATCCCTCTCTACTGGTGTTCCCCAGGGGTCTGTCCTTGGTCCCCTATTGTTCTCAATCTACACTGCCTCCCTTGGTAAACTCATCAGCTCCTTCGGCTTCCAGTATCATTTCTATGTGGATGACATACAAATGTATCTGTCCTCCCCTGATTTCTCACCATCCCTCTTGACTTGTGTCTCTGACTGCCTCTCTGCTATTTCCAACTGCTCAATTCCTTAAAGTGACACTATAGTCACCCAGACCACTTCAGCTCAATGAAGTGGTCTGGGATCCAGGTCGCCCAGGTTTTAACCCTTCATATGTAAACATAGCCATTTCAGAGAAACGGCTATGTTTACATTGCAGGGTTAATCCAACCTCTAGTAGCTGTCTTCCTGACAGCCACTAGAGGCGCTTCTGCGATGCTGGATGCGAAAATCGCATCCAGCGTGCAGAACGTCCATAGGAAAGCATTGAGAAATGCTTTCCTATGGACTTTTTAAATGCGCGCGTGGGGGAGGAGAGGTCACCAGCGCCGAGGGAGCCCGGCGCTGGATTAAAGTAAGTAACTTTTAATCCCTTCAGCCCAGCGGGAGGGGGACCCTGAGGGTGAGGGGTCCTAGGGGTTATATAGTGTCAGGAAAATGGGTTTGTTTTCCTGACACTATAGTGATCCTTTAAACTGAACCTGTCAAAAACAGAACTTCTGGACTTCCCTCCCTCAAGTGTTGCTACTCCCTTGTCTGTGTCCCTCCAAGTCAATGGCGCTATCATCCGCTACACCTCTAAGGCTCGCTGCCTAGGTGTTCTCTTTGACTCCGACCTCTCCTTCACCCCTCATGTCCAATCAATCCCTAAATCATGCCGCTTCCATCTCAAAAACATTGCGCGCATCTAACCCCATTTAACACCTGATACGGCAATGGTGCTTGTCTATGCCGCTGTCATCTCTCCCCTTAATTACTGTAATCCATTTCTCAGTAGTCTTATGTGTTCCCAACTTGGCCCGTTACAGTCTTTAATGAATGCAGCGGCGAGGCTCATCTTCCTGTCCGCCCGCACCTCCCATGCCTCCCCCTTTGTCAGTCCCTACATTGGCTTCCCGTGAGATATAGGACTCAATTTAAGATCCTGATACTTGCTTACAAATCTCTACACAATGCTGCTCCAACCTACTTATCCTCACTAATACACAAATATGTTGCATCTAGGACCCTACGCTCTGCCGGAGACCGACGGCTAACCTCTGTTCGTACTCCTACCTCTGCTGCTCACCTTAAAGACTTCTCTAGGCTCTCTGTTAGACTTTCACCCAATCTCCACTCCTTCAAAAAAATCTTTGAAAACCTACTTGTTATCATATCAATTAAACTGTGAACAGCTTTCCGTCCCCATACCCTGATTCATCTCCTGAAACTGTCATCAAAACAAAACACTAAGCACTCAATGAATACTATCCTAGCAACCTACTTTTCTACCCTTACCTTTTGTGTCACTTTACCCCACTCCCTCTAGCATGTAAGCTCATTGAGCAGGGCCCTCAACCCCTCTGTTTCTATGTGTCTAACTTGTCTAGTTACAAATACGTGTCTGTTAAGCCACCCATTGTACAGCGCTATGGAACTAGTTGGCGCTTTATAAATAATAATAATAATAATTGTGAGTATATATTGTAATTAATATGATAAAAGCAGTTTCAAAAGTGTCAAAACTAAACAATTAAAGTGTCAGTGCTTGGATGAATATACTCATAATGCAAATGATATATGTTCTAAGTGAAGGTTAGAAAAAAAATGACATTAGCGTATTCAAAATCTCCATAAGAAAGCATTGATGCTCATGAGGCACTCACTGTGCATGCACATTAGGTTTTTCAGATCGCCATGACTTCAGCAGAGCAGGCACTGTAATCAGGTAAGTGAAAAATGTTTTTAGCCCTTTATTTAAAGTAAACAACTCCTGTTCTGACTTTCTTGTTAAAGTGATACTTGGCATGTATAAACCTTTAGACTTTTTTTTTAAATTCTTTATTTTCATAGTGCAAGGGAAGACATACAGGCTTGTGATGAAACAACAGCAATGACAAGCCTATTGCAAATGCAGAGACATATACAGTGTCATGGCAGAAGAAGAAGTTTCACATTTTTATATTTTTAGGAAACAGGCATAGATCTGATCTTAAGACCAGAGAGAGTACAGGAGAATGAGTAAGAAAGCTAGCATTAGATTAGGTATGATAAACACGAGGAGGGAAGTAGTTTAAGCACTGTCACAGCAGGCATACAGTGCCAAAGCTAAGGAGGGCACAGTGTCCACACATTTGGGCAGCGCCAGAGGGGAAACACATGGCGGTCATCCTATGCCCAGGCTGGGTAGGCTTTTCACATGTTCAGTCAGTCTGTTGTGACGTCTGTGAGCTTCTGAATCCTGCTCCCAGACCAGGGGAACAGCATGCCTCTTGTTGTCGCATGCTGGCAGAGCTCCAGTCTTCCGTCTGGGAGAGAGCATGCAGGCTGGGGTGTCTGGTGGGGTGTGCGTGTCCGATACCATGCAGTTCGCCGGTGTCTTGGCTTTTGCAGCGGGGTGAGTCTCTGGGCGGGTCTCAGTATGGGATTGTCAGGAGTTGATGGGGCACCTGGAGACATAGTAGCATGGTGCACAGGGGATGCTCAGGCCTCCCTCTGAAGTAATGTCCTTCATCCCCTACCTGGATCATATCGGTGTGGGTCGGTTTTATCCTATCCTCCAGCATGACCCAGAAGCGGGCAAAGATTGCATCAAGTCTAGCTGAGATGCTGCATAAGGGAGCTGTGGAGTCTGCTGTGTGGCTTAAGGCCGGGCCTTGTGTCACAGGCACTGTGGCATCCACCATCTCGGTGGATTTGTCTTGCTCCGGGTGAGTATCAAGTTGGAGAATCCTCCACAACACTGGCAGCGTGTGTCTCGCCAGGGTGGACTGGGATATCCCCCACAGGCCAGGGGGAGAGGGACGGGCCGTGATGCTACTGGTCCGAACCACAGGCTTGAGGGCGAGGAGATCGGCCCCCTCTTCCCGTCTCCATCCCCGGTAGGCCTCAGCTAGATTTCTACGGCTCCCAGCAGTGTAAACCTGCGGAAGGGTTGACGGATTGCTTGCCCAAGATTTCCTGACCTAGTATGGGCACAGGATTGGACATGTCAGCGGTAAAGCTGGGGTAAATACTCTATTTTTGAGCAATTCTGCAGGAGCTCCAGTGCCACACATCTAGTCAGCTTGAAGGACAGGTTCTGCCCCCTCTTTAGACTTTTTTATGTCAGACAGGATACTATATTATGATGAATTCAACTGGAATTCCAATATAAACTATATTTATTTTTCTTATCTAAGGCAACAGTGATTCTAAGTATGTAATTTAGTAAAAATCTAAGTTGTACTTTCATTTATATGGATTTGGATTTGATATTTTGACATTTTTTAAATGACACAATAAAAGTTATATATTAAACTTCTGGGCTAGTACTTCTTTATCTGTCTTTGTTAAATACATGAATCGGTTTTGTTGTATAGATAATGCCCCTGCAATCTCACTAGCTAGTACTCTGCCATTTAAGAGTTAAATTATTTTGTTTATAAATCCCTAGTCACACCTCCCTACATGTGACTTGAGTAGCCTTTCTAGACACTTCCTGTATAGTGAATCTACTGTTTACACTTCCTTTATTAGACATTTTGATTTATTTAGAATGTCTTATCTCCCACTCAGTTAATAGTCTTCTTGACCCTGCAGGAGTGTCATCTGTGTGATTAAGGTTCAATTTACATAGTAGAAGATAAAAACTTCTAAAGCAATTTAACATCTTATTGAAAATGAAGCCATTTAATTTAACTCCTAAATGGCTTAGAATTGAGCAGTGAGATTGCATTGGCATGCTCTATACACTAAAACTCCTTTATTAGGCTAAAGTTGTTTTTTTATGCCCATAGTGTTCCTTTAAAGGATGAAGGGAGAAAGGAGATAAATAAATATAATAACTGAAAAAAAATATTATACTTATCATTAGGCATTTTTTTTTCAGACTTTTTTTTAGCACCACAAAAGGCTATATAAAAAGACACAAAAAATGCAACAACAAAAAAATAGCAAAGCATGAAAAAAATTAATCAATCCACCTTCACCCATGGAGGGCTCTGCACTTAATAAGGGATTTCCCACACTATGCAAGCTCATAGGAGCGGTCTCAGATTGGTTAACTTGTAAGTCAACCAATCAAAATGTTCTAACAGGCAAGCAGGCCCGGACTGGCCAACGGGCACACCGGGCAAATGCCCGGTGGGCCGCGGTGGCCATGGGCCGAGGCCGGCAGGGGAGGTCCCAGGATCTCCCCTGCCGGTCTATGCAGGGCCAGCACTCTTCTAGCGCCGGCCCCGCTGTTTGCCACGACGGGCCGGTGGGGAGATCAAGGATCTCCCTGACCGGCCCACATGCGGCCGCCGGTGGGGAGGGAGGGAGCCAGCCAGCCAGGCTGGAGAGAGGACCCGGCGGAGCTCTAACTTGCAGCTCCGCCGGGTTCCTCTCGCGAGATCCGGCGCGTTGCCATGGCCCGGTAAGAAGGGAGGGGGGGGAAATAATGACTGGTTTTTTTTATTTTTATTTACCCCCCTTACACACACACAATAATATTTATACAGCACTCTCACACCCATCACACACAGCACTGTCTCACACAGCACTCTCATAGCACTCTCACACACTCACAGCACTCTCACACACACACAGCACTCTCACACACACACAGCACTCTCTTACACCCATCTCACACAGCACTCTCACACCCATCACACACACACAGCACTCTCTCACACCCATCTCACACAGCACTCTCACACCCATCACTCACACAGCACTCTCACACCCATCACTCACACACGGCACTCTCACACACATCACACACACCGCACCCCTCACACACACACATACTGCACCCCTCACATACACACAGAACCCCCCCCCCAACACACTGCACCACTCACATACACAATACTTCCAAATATATATATATATATATATATATGTATATATATATATATTTATATTTATACACACACTACACTCTTAAAGGACCACTGTAGCCACCCAGACCACTTCAGCTTAATGAAGTGGTCTTGGTGCCAGGTCCTTCTAGGGTTAACCCATTGTTTTATAAACATAGCAGTTTCAGAGAAACTGCTATGTTTATCAATGGGTTAAGCCTTCCCCCAAAGCCTCTAGCAGCTGTCTCATTGACAGCCGCTAGAGGCGCTTGCGTGCTTTTCACTGTGAAAATCACAGTGAGAGCACGCAAGCGTCCATAGGAAAGCATTATAAATGCTTTCCTATGCGACCGGCTGAATGCGCGCGCAGCTCTTGCCGCGCGTGCGCATTCAGCCGACGGGGCGGATCGGAGGAGGAGAGCTCCCCGCCCGGCGCTGGAAAAAGGTAAGTTTTAACCCCTTTCCAGAGCCGGGCTGGAGGGGGTCCCTGAGCCACATATGCATCACATTACACCACAAACACAACACGACTAAAACCGACCTTATTACACAATACCACACCACGACCAGCTCACTCTACACACACGCAATACCACAAGCAGGCTCCAAACACATGCACAATACTCTTTCCTGGCCTTTTGTCTCCTGGTATCCATTTATAGAGACACCAGAGACAAGTTGCAAGGAAACACAGTGCAAGCATGTTATTAAATTTGCTTGCACTGTGCAGAACAAATACAGGACTTTTTTCTCATGCTAGAGCTCTTCAGCAGAGCTCTGCGCATGTTCTGCCCTGGAAGAGCATTGAACCAACATGCTCACTTTGAGAGGAGGCGTGTTTGTCATTGGTGATGACAAAACACACCTCCTCTGCCCCGCCCCATTTAGTGGGCCGCTGTGTTAAAAAAATGCCCGGGACGAATTTTTATCCCAGTCCGGCCCTGCAGACAAGTCTCACTTCTCTTGAAACTTTCATGATGATATATATATTTTTTTTTAAATAGCAGCATTGGTAATAATTTTTTTTAATTGGCCTTTTGTGTGACTGAAAAAGAAACATTTCAGAAAAAAAGAAGACTGGTGAGTATAAAATGTTTTTTACTTGTATTTGATTTATCGGGCTCCTCTTACTATTATCAGGGTAAATTGGTAAGCAGAATTCTTTTAATTGGGGGTTGACTAAGGGTTTGTGGACCTCTAGACACTTCCAGAAAATGGAGAGGGCCTTGTCAAAATGTGGGGGGTTGGGTTGAAATGATATTTCCCTCTCCTTGTGTATTTTTAATAGCCTCCACCAGTCCACCATAGGTAGGGGGTGCGGGATACACTAAGTGCCCCATCCCTTTATTTATTAGCCCTCAATGGCCACCACTGGGGGTAGCAATAGGTCCCACATTTATTTAATGATAATCTCTGGGAGGGGAGAAATTTTAATTATAGCGAGAGGGGAATAGGAGGGATTCCATGCCTTATTAATTTATCACTTTTTTATTTAATAGCTCCCACCAACTGGCCATGGGTGGGGGCAGGGGGTTGGACAGGTCAATGGTCTCTCATTATTCAATTTTCAGCCCACACCTGGTACTAATAGGCGCTGGCAGTGGGGGACCTCTGTCATTGGCTGCTCACTGTATAGTAGACATGCCACCATCCTCAATATCCACTGTGTAGTACTAGGGGATGATAAAGTAGCGTATGTTATGTCACATTCAACAGTTCTAGAGGTCAGGGCAGGTGGTGAAATAACGAGGTCAAATAGACAAGTCAGGGAAAAACTGTGATAAAATATGGTGAGCAGGGACAGGAATAGAAGAAAAAGGTTAACTCTCAAAATGGCATCGCCGCTGGGGAGAAGGGGGGAGGGCAGGTAAAGGCGAGATGTACTTACCTGAACTTGTTCCTCATGAGCTTGGCCATCTTAGTTGATGTCACTGTTCTACTCTCGCACATGTGCAAGAGTACAGTACTGAGATCTATGGAGGATCCCACAAGACTGCAGGATCCTTCATAGACACAATGAATTATCTGTAGCCGTCACTGGTGATGGCTGTCGGGATTGACACTTAGATTCCACTCAGAGTCTAAGAAAATCATGCTGAGGAGATATACAGAGCCTTACACACAGAAAGAAGGAGGATACCCACAAAATGAGGGTCCAAAAGCCACACTACCAGGACTTAGAGTGGCCGGACTTAATAAATTAACAGATAGAATCAAATTCAAGAGTAGCTGAGGTCAGGAATACAGAAATACGGATAAACAAGAAACAAGCAAGGTCAGGATAATAGAAATAGACAGGTCAATATACATTACAGGTCAGGATACCAGAAGTTCACAAAGTCAAAACGAAGCCAAGGTCAATAACAGGAAATCAATAGTTTGAAGCACTAACCACAATAAAGTAATAAACAAGGGTTCAAATTAACTTTATGTAGGCTAACACAATTTCTGATTGTTCCATGTCATCTCTGCGACTCCAGATTGATAGAATATGGGGTCACCTAGGTGATGTGGTCACTTTAAGAGTGGGAGAGACGTAACGTGATTTAAATACATACAAGATGCACCAATACAGCGTGCAGCTGTATATTCTTTAAAGGGGAAAACAGACGCACAGAGTTCAGTCCGCGAACCAGCAGAGGGAGATGTTCGCGGGGCCAAAAGTAAGAACACTTTTTTCCCTATTGAGGCCGCGTGGCCAAGTTGAGCTTTCCAGCGAGTTGGCCTGAGGATAGGAGCAGTGCAGCCACACAGAGCTTCCTGCTCGCGCGGTCCAAGGAGGGGAGCGGCACAAACTCCAGGTGCAGGTAAGTCTGTGACAAATCCTAACTGGGCTGGAATTTCAGTGAAGTTCCAATAAAGTCAAAAACGGCGTTTCATACAGATTCCAACTCTATGAAATACTAATATTTTGGGGGAAGGGGACATGTATATAAACACTGTTGGGATTCACATGCCTTTATAGTGTGAGTCAGGAAAATGACTCCATGTGTGGTATCGTGCACATCCTCTAATACATCAGATATTTTACAAAACTCTGCTTATTGTTTTTTTAATTCATTTTCACTTTAGCGACTGCTTTCAATTCTTCATTCTAGAGCGCTATAGATCCTGTTGCTGGATTATTTGGCATTGGCGGGTGTCTTCCTCTTATTCTGCATTAGTAGCAGTGTTTTCTTTGTGGTCGCTCTTCGAGTTAGGTTAGTCTTTTTCTACATTCTCTGACATT